TATACGTTACATTACTGACCTCTGCACTATGCGTTACATTACTGAACTCTGCACTATGCGTTACATTACTGACGTCTGTACTGTGCGTTACATTACTGACCTCTGTATTGTGCGTTACATTACTGACCTCTGTATTGTGCATTACATTACTGATCTCTGTATTGTGCTTAACATTACTGACCTCTGTATTGTGCGTAACATTACTGACCTCTGTATTGTGCGTAACATTACTGGCCTCTGCACTATGCGTTACATTACTGACCTCTGCACTATGTGTTACATTACTGACCTCTGCACTATGCGTTACATTACTGACCTCTGTACTGCTGACCTCTGTACTGCGTGTCATACCGCTGACCTCTGTACTGTGTGTCATACCACTGACCTTTGTACTGTGCATTGTTATTGATCTCTGTACTGTGCGGCATACCGATGACCTCTGTACTCTGTACATTTCTCCAGTGCGGGACCTCAAGGGAGGCCTCTGCATTATGCGTTATATTACTGACCTATGCACTATGTGTTGCATTACTGACCTCTGCACTATACGTTACATTACTGACCTCTGCACTATGCGTTACATTACTGAACTCTGCACTATGCGTTACATTACTGATGTCTGTACTGTGCATTACATTACTGACCTCTGTATTGTGCATTACATTACTGATCTCTGTATTGTGCGTAACATTACTGACCTCTGTATTGTGCGTAACATTACTGACCTCTGTATTGTGCGTAACATTACTGGCCTCTGCACTATGCGTTACATTACTGACCTCTGCACTATGCGTTACATTACTGACCTCTGCACTGTGCGTTACATTACTGACTTCTGCACCATGCGTTACACTACTGACCTCTGCACTATTCGTTACATTACTGACCTCTGCATTATGCGTTACATTACTGACCTCTGCACTGTGCGTTACATTACTGACTTCTGCACTGTGCGTTACATTACTGACCTCTGTACTGCTGACCTCTGTACTGCGTGTCATACCGCTGACCTCTGTACTGTGTGTCATACCACTGACCTTTGTACTGTGCATTGTTATTGATCTCTGTACTGTGCGGCATACCGATGACCTCTGTACTCTGTACATTTCTCCAGTGCGGGACCTCAAGGGAGGCTCAACGAGGCTGCTGGAGGCTTCACCTCTGTACGTGGAGGCAACATCGCTGCAATCCCCCCCACCACCACCAGGAGAGGAAGAGAGCACCAGAACCAGATAAACTGTGCACTGTAAGTCCCTCTTTTTTCTGCATTACACCGCTGGCCTCTGTACTCTGCATCACACCATACCACTGGCCTCTGTACTCTGCGTCACACCATACCACTGGCCTCTATACTCGGCGTCACACCACTGGCCTCTGTACTCGGCGTCAACCCGGCTGGCCTCTGCACTCTGCGTTGTTACTGATCTTACAATCACTTCTTGGCATAAACTTCCGCATTATAAGTTGAGCAGATGCCAATGTTTGGAAGGGTGTTGCCCATTTTTGACTGCAGTCAATGGAGACAACATAGCTTAGTCACAAGAGCATCATACTTTTAATCTGAGAGTCCATCGTTACATTACTGACCTCTGCACTATGCGTTACATTACTGAACTCTGCACTATGCGTTACATTACTGACGTCTGTACTGTGCGTTACATTACTGACCTCTGTATTGTGCGTTACATTACTGACCTCTGTATTGTGCATTACATTACTGATCTCTGTATTGTGCTTAACATTACTGACCTCTGTATTGTGCGTAACATTACTGACCTCTGTATTGTGCGTAACATTACTGGCCTCTGCACTATGCGTTACATTACTGACCTCTGCACTATGTGTTACATTACTGACCTCTGCACTATGCGTTACATTACTGACCTCTGTACTGCTGACCTCTGTACTGCGTGTCATACCGCTGACCTCTGTACTGTGTGTCATACCACTGACCTTTGTACTGTGCATTGTTATTGATCTCTGTACTGTGCGGCATACCGATGACCTCTGTACTCTGTACATTTCTCCAGTGCGGGACCTCAAGGGAGGCCTCTGCATTATGCGTTATATTACTGACCTATGCACTATGTGTTGCATTACTGACCTCTGCACTATACGTTACATTACTGACCTCTGCACTATGCGTTACATTACTGAACTCTGCACTATGCGTTACATTACTGATGTCTGTACTGTGCATTACATTACTGACCTCTGTATTGTGCATTACATTACTGATCTCTGTATTGTGCGTAACATTACTGACCTCTGTATTGTGCGTAACATTACTGACCTCTGTATTGTGCGTAACATTACTGGCCTCTGCACTATGCGTTACATTACTGACCTCTGCACTATGCGTTACATTACTGACCTCTGCACTGTGCGTTACATTACTGACTTCTGCACCATGCGTTACACTACTGACCTCTGCACTATTCGTTACATTACTGACCTCTGCATTATGCGTTACATTACTGACCTCTGCACTGTGCGTTACATTACTGACTTCTGCACTGTGCGTTACATTACTGACCTCTGTACTGCTGACCTCTGTACTGCGTGTCATACCGCTGACCTCTGTACTGTGTGTCATACCACTGACCTTTGTACTGTGCATTGTTATTGATCTCTGTACTGTGCGGCATACCGATGACCTCTGTACTCTGTACATTTCTCCAGTGCGGGACCTCAAGGGAGGCTCAACGAGGCTGCTGGAGGCTTCACCTCTGTACGTGGAGGCAACATCGCTGCAATCCCCCCCACCACCACCAGGAGAGGAAGAGAGCACCAGAACCAGATAAACTGTGCACTGTAAGTCCCTCTTTTTTCTGCATTACACCGCTGGCCTCTGTACTCTGCATCACACCATACCACTGGCCTCTGTACTCTGCGTCACACCATACCACTGGCCTCTATACTCGGCGTCACACCACTGGCCTCTGTACTCGGCGTCAACCCGGCTGGCCTCTGCACTCTGCGTTGTTACTGATCTCTGTACTCTGAGATCAGTCATCGTCATCATATGCCCAGCATTGTACAAAGCACTTCTTGCTCTAAGCTTCCCCATTATAAGTTGAGCAGATGCCAATGTTTGGAAGGGTGTTGCCCATTTTTGACTGCAGTCAATGGAGACAACATAGCTTAGTCACAAGAGCATCATACTTTTAATCTGAGAGTCCAGAGGTCAAGGTCTTGTTCGTACAATGTTGCTTCTAAATCATCCAAGTTCAAACACACTTCCTAATACGCTCATAAGTAACCGTTCCTTCAAAAGTCTGTACAGATAAGATTTACAGTTTTTGAATCCTGGCACCCAAAAGATAAAACCATATTCAAAATAATTTTAGAGCACCATGCAGTTTGTAGGCATTTGAACACATGCTGAAGGATCGTGGCTAGCACTGTCAGTACATGTAGACCAATGCAAAAAGATTACATGCATCTCTGATGATAAACCATCCAGCTTTCAATTTGAAGATACAGGGTTAAAGTCATGAGCAAACCTCAACCCTTATACTTTTATATGACATTGATAGAATTGCAGTAGACACAGAGAAGCATACCCATGTTCATTGTCGGTACTAGCGTGGCCCCACTCCATCAGAGACCAACTGCCTATAACTGCATCCTCCCTTGATAATTGACAGTCAGATGCAAAGCTTTGATCAACTACACCTGTTCTCAACCTGTGCAACCTCAGGACCCACCTTTGTCCTTGATCATTAAGTCGTGACCCAAGTCACACTGCAATGGAATGCACACAATTGTGGTACCGTGCATTCTGGTGCAGGCGATTGAACTGTGGGTGGAAGGTGCATTTGGAGGGCCATTCAAATAAATGGCAACGCAACGCAATGCACCTCCCACACCAGAGCACGTAGTATGTGCGATTGCATGGTACAGTGCGTTAATTGCACAGGACTGTTCGATTAACCTACTGTACTAGTGTAAACAGGCCCTCAAATACACTGACAGACAAACACAATAACAGACAAAATCTCACACACAACCACAGATACAATCGCACACACACACACTCCAAAATGTTCTAAACTTTTTTCTTCTTTTTTTTAAGATCCACTCAGTCTCCCTTCTTTATGAGAACTGGACTGGATCCTCATCCTAGGGTCCAGTGTGGGCTGCTGTGTTGTGACGGAGCTCCATTCATGTGTGCAGCCTTGCTTGTACAGCTCCCATGTGTGCCCTGTAGAGGTGCCAGGAGCCAGAATGTGATGTCACTCCGGTCCAGGAACCTCTACGGGACATGCGAGAGAGCTTTAAGCAATGCACGTATTGGATGGAACTCCCTTGCGGCCATAGCTCCAGCCCACCCCACCCCACCTCAAGCTGACACTCAGTGCCAGGCAGCATATTCTGAATGGCTGCTCAGCGTGAGAACTGACATTGCTGTGCTAGGGGCAGGCTGAGAAGCCTCTTACCTAGAATAGTGTAGTTCCTTGGTTCTCAACTGGTGGGTTGTGATCCAAAAGTGGGTCGTGACCCCATGTTCAGTGGGTCGCTGCATGCCTTTCACTTTTCTAGGTGAGAGGCTTCTCAGCCTGCCCCTAGCACAGCAATGTCAGTTGGGTTATCCATTTGTTGAGATTTTTTTTTTTTGTCTCCCCAAGGTGCAGGTCTTTGCAATCCTCATTACACTGCACTGCATATACCAAGTTACTTCAGATGTGCAAGCTTCTGTTTAACTAACATGGTGTAATGCAACAAGCATACCACTGCCAAACCAAACAAGTACAGCAATATGTCAAGAAGAAAACTAAAAGCCCAAACATTTTATTCACCTATATGCATGGGGCTACGACTGCCAGACAAGTACAACAATAAACCAAGACGACCACAAAACCTTTTTTATATGTCGGAAAAAAATATATACTGTGTATGTATATATATATTTTTTATTATTTTGTTTTGTTTTTTAATTTAGGGTGAACGTTTTTTTAAAATCAATCGATTTTTATTCATGTTTTACAGTTTTACAGCAGGTAACAACATTGAAGAAACTCTGTGACAGGCTCCAGCAATGCAATATGGTATTATGTTACAATTAAACATTTCAGCTGACAGATTGGACCCACATGTTATCGTTACATTCCATGAGGGCAGAGTAGAAGGTTAGGAGGTCAGTTTGGGTATGTATAAAATTATACAATTTCTATTGAAGTGGATCAGGAAACATTGTAGTACAGATTTGGTGAACCGTTAAGATGAGGGTTTAGGTTTCATCTGTGCCTGCCCAGTGGGCAGAATAAAGAGAGGAAGGAGCAGTAGAGAGTGGGAGATAGAGAGGAGCAAAAAAGGAGCAAAAGTCAAAAGAGGATAGGAAAGGTGAAAGGGTGGCTGGTCAGGACAGGCACTCCTAGGATCAGAGTCAATATAAGTTACCCAAACATTCTAGGTTTCAATGCATTTAGAGTGTCTATCATGTATTTGAGCCATAAGTTTCTCCAGGCACATTTGACGATTAACCTCTGCCACCCATTCCTTAAAGTGGACCGTTACCCCCTTTTGCTAAAAATCACATCAGCATGCAGCTCTGCATCATCTTACATTTATTAGTTAAACAAACTTGTTTTTCATTTACTTACAAATAGAGTTCATCTACTTCCTGGTCCAGTTCTGGCACAAATGATGTAAGTGCCAAAGAGGTGCATCTTGAGAAGGTTACATCAGCAGAGCATTGCTGGAAAATCTCATCTGTTATCTAATGAGAGAAAGGGATTTTCCTCCCCTGAGGTGATGTGCATGGTCACATGTCCTAGTTACATGTCTAGTCACATGAGCCAGATTTTCAGGAAGTAAAGGGAGAGCTAGTAACCTGCCCTAACATGGCCACTGCCAGAAGATTGGGAATAAAAAGAAAAATAAGGTATGCAAAGAATACAAAACCTGCAATTATCTATATGTATGTATTTGTAGATTGTGATTACTAAACATTTCTAAAGGTGTGTTTGTTGTTATTTTAAAGATATGGGTAAAGGTCCGGTTTAATTAAGTCTTGAAATCACCACCCTACCAACAAAAAGTAGGAATCTAGGGATTCCCTTGTGATTCATAGATAGTGATCCTGGTACTACAGATAGCAGTGTGACTTAAGGGGAGGGTCACAAAGGGGTTCCTGTCAGATGTGTGTAGATCCAAAAAATTGTGTTCTAGTTGGATAGAACTTCATGACAGTACCATCAGATATATAACATGGCCATTCCAGCCTCTCCACTTTGCAAGCAATGATCAGGGATCAAGGGAAGAATAAGAGTTGGTAGAGTGTGGAGATCACTTGTGAGTTATCAGAGGCATAGGGGTTGAATGACTAAAAGCAAATAGGCTGTTCACTTTTAAATATTTTTTGCAAAGTGAATATTCTCAGTATTGGCTAAGCTAAGGGAAAATGCCTTTGCAAAGTGGGCAGTCTATTTGCATTTAGTAAATAAACCCAATACATCCAAAGGGGGTGAGATTTCTATGTAGCATATGGAAATTCGGATAGAAAGTCCCTCACACTTCACTTTTTGGAGTGCGAGTGACTTTCTATTCCAATTTCCATATGGTCACTGTCACTGCTGCACCCACCCTTTCGTGTTTCTTTCCAGTCAGGAGTGCCATGGGACACACTTTGTCTTGATATCTGTGTAGCAGCCCCTGGTTTTTAATATCATGTCATAATTGGATATAGTCAGCATCTAGAGTATTACTCTTGTTCAGGGGAATTTACCACTAGGGGTTTAAGACCAGCAGTGGAGAGCACAGGTAGATATGGAAAGGGTCATGGACCTCCAAGGGTTATTGGTAGGGATGCTCCGATACCACTTTTTTAAGACCGGGTACGAGTACCGATGTTTTTTTTCAAGTACTCACCGATACCAATTACCGATACTTATTCTTAAAGGGACAGGTCACATTTTTTCTAAAGCAATACAAAATCATGATTTTAGGTCAGTTTCTTAATATTATGAAGAACATGAAATGAACATGAAATTAATATTTATCATGCCATTGCTAACTAAGGCTTGTATCTCCATAGAGGGGAAAATAGATGAGCAAATGTCCAGACTTCAGATTATACATTTTATAATATAAAAAAGACATTGAATAATGAAATTAACTGAATATTTAGATCAGCTAATCAGCTGACACCAAAGGATAAAAGTTTCATATAACGTGTCCACTGGTATCTGAAATACACGTATTAATCTCCAGTGGGAAAAACAAGGAAGTTATAAGTAGCACCTTCTTAAAAAATACGTTTCTTTCCCACATGGTTTCAGCTGATTAGCATATATGAATGAGAGCACATTATACAAACAGATCTGCATACCTGAAGATTTATAATTGTATGCCATGCTTTTTGTTTTATTTAAAACCAGTTAGTGATATGATGTTTATGTCCAAAACTGATATTTTATCTAATAAACTCTTTTTGTAACTGGAATACTTGTCCCGAGCCTCTGTTAACCCTTTTTAAAGAGTTCAGAATGGAGCAGATGACTGAGGTCTTGGAGGAGGAGTTCGCGGCCATCTTGTTTCATTGAAGACGCTATGGAGGTCCTGTGTGCAGCGGGTTCGGGTCCCTGAAGATGGCGGACGCGGCACAGGTACTCGTTTTTTGTATCGGAGTATTTGCACGAGTACGAGTCCTCATGCAAATACTCGGTATCGCCGCTGATACCAATGCTTGTAACGGTATCGGAGCGTCCCTAGTTATTGGTCAACATGAGAAGAGAGCAGCAATTGAGGTGCCCCATATGTGAAGAAGAGAAAAAAAAAGGGAGGGAGTTTAGAACAAACATATACAACAAGTCACTATGTCCATTTTTAACAATGACTTCCTGCTTAAGCAATAGTAGGTTTAGACCATTTCTAGACATTGCTGAGTGTCTCTAAGTAGAGAGAGGTAGTTCAAGGTATAAGGCTCCACAGGGTCAAATCGTTTATACCCATATATGTAATAGAGTGGGATGTCAATGGAAGTTGATCATGACTAAAGATTCATTTCTGGTAGCCTTACCTCTTCAGGGAAACAGTTGCTGAAATCTCAATACGGGAATGTAAATTTGGCCTAAGCTGATACTTTTTCAGATGTCTATGGAGGACTACTACCTACTGCCAATAAACACAGCCATTTCCAAATGAGAAACAATAAAGCCACCATAGGATTAGTTTACTTTAACTGTACTCATCGGAGTTCATATTACTTAAACTATGGGGTCTATTCACTAAGCTGCCGAAGGATCTAGCTGTAGCTTTGGCTGATCCTTCGGCTAGCTTTGGCCCCAGGCCCCTTCGGTAACAGTAGAACCGAAGGGCTGCTGTACGGGCTATTCACTTGAGCCCGTACTCCCGTACTAGCCGGGACTCCCGGACGCTCCGGGAGTCCCACGCTATTAGATAGCGGCTCCCGGCTGCCCGGGAGAGAAACACTTTCTCCCAGAAAGGTTTACTATGCTCGATTAAGCAGAGTAAGCCTTTCCCTGCTCTGTTTTCTTTTTTTTTTTCTTCTGACATCGGAGCCGTTGGCTGCCGTCAGAAAAAAAATCACTATAGGAATGCATAGCTAGATTCCTATTGGCTATTTCAATTTACAATAGCAAACTAGCTATTGCACTCGCCCACTGCTGCTGTCAATCAGCAGAGGGGACCTAAAGTTCTCCATCGGGTCCCCTCTAGTGATTGACAGCAGCAGAGGGTGGGTGCAATAGCTAGTTTGCTATTGGCTATTGCAAATTGAAATAGCCAATAGGAATCTAGCTATGCATTCCTATGGTGATTTTTTTTTATTATTCTGACGGCAGCAGAACCGCCTGGCCAATAGAAAACAGTTGGGCTTAGCTAGCTGTCACTGCTAGCTCCGCCCAATCGTTTTCTATTTGATTTTTTCTACTTTTTAAACTGTTTTTCTATTCTGCTCGGTACCACAGAGGTACCGAGCAAAATAGCCTAGCCGAATGCCGCTCAGTGGCATTCAGCTATTTACTCACTGCTGTTCGGCATCTATGAGAATATGCCGAACAGCAGCGAGTAGCCTGCCGGAGGTTCGGCTCAGCCGATCCAGATGTTAGATCGGCTGAGTCAAACTCCTTCTGCACTTAGGGTCGGCCGAACATGCATAGCATGTTCGGCCGACCCTAAGCATGCTTAGCATGTTCGGCCGACCCGAAGCCACATGAAGCAAGCCGATGTGAATAGCAAGTCTGAAGTGAATAGCCGAACAGTGTTCGGCTCACTTCACTTCAGGCCGGTTGTTCACTCGGCTGCCTATGGCAGCCCAGTGAATAGACCCCTATCTGTCAAGTGTAAATCTTTATGTTTTACTTTTTTTATTTTAAATGACATTTTAAGAGGCCTACGATCCTCTCTTTTATATAAAGAGTATGCCATCCATAAATATTATACCCCAGGGGTACTTTTTCTACTGCATTGAAGGAATAGTGATGAATGAAGGTATGACCTCTGACTGACAGGATATTCCAAAGAACAGAAGAGTAAAGAATGTGATTGCACAATACTCCTTTGGAATTCTGTTAAATAAAATGAAAGAGGACGGGTATCAACAGATCCCTAGCAAGGTCATGAAAGTACTTCCCAAAACATATTCATATTCAACATCATATTTGTTCAGGAAGTGAACATCTATAATCAGTGATTCATGTTTATTCATATTTAATGTACTTACACATGATGAGGAATCATTTCAGCATGGTATAATTGTGCATGCCCCCATTTCTCCAGGTTTACATTTAAACCGTTTTTAATACCATTGGAATATTGTTGATTCATGGAAAACTAGAAAAACAATTCTATGTAAAAAAGAAAAATGCAGAACAACTGTGGTCAAAAACAACTTTTTTGTTCGGTCCACCAATGAAAACTTATTTTGTGATAGAAGCCCAATGAAGCGCCATTTCTGGAGTATTCTTGTGCTGTCTTGAATAGTGAATTTGAAGTAAAATAATTATACATTTACTGGAAACTGTCCATAATATTAGACCTGACCTCCACCTGAATGAGAGGCAGATGTGCCAACAGTCATAGAAACAGACATGTGAATGGTTTGCTATACCGATTGACATGTTCTGCACTGGTTCTTTTTGCAAAGCCTCTCATTTTTAATACTAGTACAAAGAAGGCATCACTGCTCCATCCAACACCAAGCCTCCGACACCCAGGTAGGGTACATATAGGTACAGGCTGGAAGCTGTCCACACTACAACACTGCAACTCAAAGGAAGAAGCCGCGCACGTTAGTTGCTCTTATTCTTAATAATTCACTCTGTTGTTAGGGTGTGTGTACATACAATAACTCTGGAAAGAAGCAGGTAGGATTAAAGTTTGCTACAATCAGTGCAATAAGCAGTTCTGTCATAAATATTCCCTCTAAGAATCTAGCCTGAGTGTGTGTTAAAACACCAAAATGATTATCTAAGTGCAGATGAACTATGGATCAATGTATAATGGAGATTTCCGTTGCATATTTCTATTGTTAAGCAGAAGATTACAAACAATGGCTGTAATTTTACCTTCAATTTTAAATGCAGTATTGTCTTCACAAAGTCTTTGTCCAAAGTCAGGGTCTCTAGCGAAGAGCAAACACTCCCATGTCTAGCACTTTGGTGAGTGCTTTCTGCCATCTGCTGGTGACTCGTCAGTTCCTATGTCCTGCAGCCGTGTTTTACTCATTTCTTTCTGCTCTGCTTGCTCCACTTGACTAACAATTTCTGTTTGCTCTAGATCACATGTCAAACACAAGGCCCATGGGCCGAATCCGGCCGCCGGGCCATTTCATGTGGCCCTCCCACCTATCCTGCAGCTTTAAACTTTAAAACCATTTGTAAACAGGCGTAGGGCTTCACTGGAAGGCTGCCGAGGTCCCCAGCAAGGTCTGTTTACACCGCTGGCAGCAAATCTCTTCCTTCCTATGGATCCACGCCCCCCGCACCCACCGAGACCAACCGGGTCGGCCGGCACCCCCCCTTCACTTTTCGCCCGGGGCCGCGCCCCTGCTGCCCCCCCGGTTGTTACGTCACTGACCGGGACCCCTGGTGAGACTGCACAGTCATCCTACGACCCCACACAGCCCAGCATAGACCATGCACAGCACCCTGAGAGTCCGCACAGCCCACCATAGGACTTGCACAGCCCAGCATAAACCCCGCACAGGTTCTGATGCGGCCCGCCATGAAATTGAGTTTGACACCCCTGCTCTAGATTCTATTGCTTCAGCCCTGATTTGATTCTATGTTCCTGCTTTCAATGTTGCTAGTGCACAAAGTCTCCTTGACAGCAATAACAAAAATAACAAAGCCACAAGGCAATGCTCCCACGGTCACTCACTCATCCTAATTTCATTATGTTAAAGAGCCCATTAGCTACATGGCAACAACAAGGTGCTGTACTTAAAAATCCGTATTGCTATATTCAGACTTCATCACAGTTAGCATTGTTTAGCAAAAATCTGAGCTGAGATTTTCATTCTCTTAAGTGAAGCAGACCATAGCTAGGAATCTCTGTCTAAAGATGAGCACACACATAGCAGATTATGATGGATTCTGTGAACAATCAATCATGGAGACCAACCAAACAAAAAAAGCACTGTGATTATTCAATGCAATACCTAATATATTCCCAGCGCACATCCGTGGGCAAAGGATGGAGTAAGTGGATGCTGTAGCAACTACCAGCAGGTTGGATGGTGTCAGCACATAGATAAGAACATGTTGCCAGCACACCATAGATCCATAACAATAGTCCAAGTATTTATCTAAGCAATCACATCACAAACAGTATTGGGACTTGTTTTTTGTATGTGTTTTTGTGATGATCGCTTCAATAAATACTTGGACTATTGTTTATGGCTGTATGGTGTGCAGGCAGATGTTCTTATCATTGGACGCAATGCACCCACCAAACATGAAACACACATTAAACTAGCAAATATCCATAGAAACAATGAATCTACAAAACAGTATCATGTCCAATTAATCTTTCCGATCGTGCCAAAGTGTCGATGAAAAGGGGAGGATCATTTTTCTTCCTGCTCAACAATCATTCATCAGAAGAGAAGCAAACAAGATGGACTCTTGTGGATTATCCATATGTAGCACAGGCTTAGTATTGCTTCTGTATTGCTCTCTGAAACACTGCATTGCATTTTCTGGCTAGACTGATAGCCCACAGAGACTGGAGAAGATGCTCTATTGGTTACAGCTGCAGGACTGTTCCTGGATTGGTTACTGCTGTAGCTAAGAAGGAAGCCCACCCCTAACGACAAACGCAAGGAAGGACTTGATTGGATAGCAGCCCAGGAGAGCTGTAATTGGCTGCAAGGCCGTTTTTGGCCCCGTCCACCCCACGAAAAGAGCAGACTGAGGGGAGAGAGGAGGACACAGAGGGAGAGAGAGACACAGAGTGGTATGCTGCAGCCAGACAGGGGAAAAGTCCCTTGTACTTGTCTCCTGTGCACTGCCAGAGTCTGTGATTCCTGTGGAGACTTCTAAAGGGAGGTGGAAGCTTGAGAGAGGGGTTTTCAGTGTGCTATGCTACCCTTTTGCCTGATCTTTGAAGATGTGCTAACAGTGCAGTGACATCTAGAGAAGGATTTCGATACTGCAGCCATCATCATCCTGTTTGGAGGATTCTGCGGCCTGTGTTGCACCCATCGCCAGCTGAGACAGCTATCAAGCTACCAATTGCTGGAAGGATGATATATAAAGTGATCGAATGGTGAGAGATCTTCTGCCATCTTTGTGTGAATTGATCTTGCTTATTCCTGCTTGATCCTATTAACTGCCAATGCAGCTATATCTGAAGGTGTATCACCGTATCTGTTCATGTTTGTTACCCTGTTACACTTTGTGAAGATCCCCCTTTCCATCCAGTGGATTACAAATATTGCTTTACAAAAGGCTGAGTACTCAACCACAGAATTTAAAGGGCCCCAACGCTGGCAGACTCTGTATGTGTGTAGAATTCCCACTGGCCAGTGGTTAGCTAGAACCTACAAGACCTTGTTAGGTTCTTATAGTCAGTCATATGTCCTTTGGTACTTCTTGAACAGTATTTCTGTGTTGCGCAACTGACAGTTTCGTTCACCACTCGTCCAGTGCATCTCAGGCAAAGCGTCTCACTGGCGGTTAAAGTGAACGAACACCAACCTTGTTTACTTTGCCGAATGGTTGCATTGTGTCATTGCTTTTAAAATTGTTCATCCTATTAATCAGTTTATCTCTTTCCAGGGCTTATTGCTAGTTTTAATAAAGCCGTTTTAAATGGTGTGTTGGTGTCACTTGGATGCAGGTGAGGGTGAGTCATCACGGGGTGGGACAGAAGACCCGTATATTACAGCGGCCCTTGTGGGGTAAGCGCTACACATATATATATATATATATATATATATATATA